TTGTATTGACAGCCCTAATTCTGCTCATCACAGCATGAGCGCTGTGACATGGAGTGGCCCAGCATCATATGGGATATCAAGGAGAAACAATGTTAGACCTCAGCTCTCCCAAATTCTAGGCAGGCACCTTATTGCATATCTCCCCCTGAAAAGAACCACCTTACTTTTCCATCCAGTACACTGAAAGATGCAGGGGTTTTCTGTAATAAGCCATAGGTAGTTGTTGCAGTGCATGAGAACACACACATACCTTTACCAACATTCATTTGGATGCAGCATATACCTCTTTATATATGTGCACGTAAGTCTAAATGTAATAGGAACAGCAGCGAATCCATTGAATTGAATCCATACTATTCTGTATACATCTACAATATTATTAAAAATACCAAATTAATAAATACATGTTCTTGACAGATGAATTTAGAAACCATCAATTAAGCTTGGCATTCATTAGGTGGGGAGAAGTCCAATCAGATTTCACTGACTCAACAAAGCTGCCTATAAATTGTGGGCTTTTTGTTCTGACGTTTGATGAATTATTCTTCATAATCCACTGTCTACTGCGATAAATCTAATCTTTCAGTTTTTGCTGTCTTAATAATTCTTAGAGCAACACTGTGACATTTTGTTTTTGTAAAGGGGATAGAAAGGCTGGGACAATGGAAAAAAACCCTCACTTGCTGTCTGGGAAGTATATTACTCTATACTGAGGTAATATTTTTCTCACACCTAGAACTCTGGTTTTGCAGACTTGGAGGGATCAGTGAGACCTTAGCAACATACGCCATTATGTGTCTCTTGTTGAAAAGATGACCAGCCTAGGATGTGGTTCACATTCCTTAAACCAGGAAGGTCATTCAGATTTCTGAGAGCAATAGCGTACTAGTTTTGGTAAAGTGAATTCCAAAAGTTAAGAATGCCTTCTGTTGTTAGTGATCCTGCATCTCACTGCTCCCTAAATCTGTCTTGAACAAACTGCTGACACATGGGCAACATTCATCACAGTGGCAGAGCAGAGCCACCTCATCTCATGTAGAAGATACTATATAGTGTTGGGCTGGAGAAGGGCTCCATGACTTAGGCTCCTGCTCCAGAGTACCGTGCTAGCAGCCTTTCTGGAGCGGGAAAAGAGCATACCTCTCCGTGAAGTGGGCAAATTGAAACCAGGCAGTAATATGCCATCATTTGCTGCAGCACATGGATATAAAAAGGTTTGGATTAAGAGGCAATATATTTCAAAAGAAATTAGCTAGCAAGACATGCACATTTAACTTTTATGGGTTAGAGATTAAGATACCAGGCTGGAACTTGGGATATCTGAGTTAAATCCCAGCTCTGTCAGACTTCTCAGAACATGCTAGGCAGGTCGTGTAAGGTAATACTTTCAGAAAGGACTCAGGATTTGGGAGTTTAAATCCAATTGATTTCCAGTATCTTCCTAAGTGTTTAAGGATAGGATTCACAAAAAATACTGAGGCATCCTTATACCCAGCATTGTGGCATCAGGTAGTATGTGCTGCAGACCATGGGAAGAACAGCTGTGCTTTGAGAAAGCACTTCAGCATGTGAGGAAGCCTGTAGCTGACATCTGGGAACTCCTAGAAAGCGTGAGTTTGTGCAGGGCCCGTTGCGACTGTGCACATCATACCATGGCCCTCTGGGCTTAATGTGGTCTCTAGCTGCAACCTCAGCATGAATACATACTAGTAAATGTGTAAGTAGATAGATCCTGTTAGAGCTTTTATATCAGTTCCTTGAGGTGTGAATACTAATACCAACAATCATGCATATTTTGTGTATTTAAAATTAAATGAGCTTCATTCTTTAGAATTAAACAATAAGGGCTGTGTTTCCAGCAAATGAAGTACAGTGCACATTCATTTGCTGGTGCAGCACATGCATGATGGGGACCTGTGCAGAAGGAGTGAGGGAAGCCATTGTGTGCAGGGACACCACTCACCTGTACGGCTGTAAACCTGCAGCTGGCTGTCCTATTCCTTTAAAAGAGAAGCCCTAAAGTTCCTTTTAAACCTGTATTAAACCTGTCAGGAAACTATGCTTGTTTCATCTCCTGCCAGGATTACAGATGGTAACAGTGAGTTTGATGAGGCCATTTGAGACCAGCTGTAACCTGGAAAAAACTTGAGAGTTCCTTAAGTCAGGTGGACTCCAAGAGTGTCCCAGACCTTTGTTTGCTAATTATCCATCCTGGAAATGACAGTTTTTTTTAAGGGTGCTTGTGAGCAGTAAGGGTCTGCAGCCTGTTCCAAGAATTCCCTGCTTGCATGAAATGGGTGCAGCCACCTTCCCTGGGAAAGAGCCCACTCCCTGGCAGGCAGTGTGGTTATCAGGCTCACCTCTGCTTCCATATCATACCGCCTCTTGCTTGCTTTTGCCTGTCTGGGACACACAGCCTGCAGCAGAGGCATTAGCTACCTCCAGTGAGCTGAGAAAAGACAATTCCATAATGAATGAGGGTCATTTGCTAAGTGGGGGGTCCTGGAGCCCTGCCATAATTGTGCTTCTGCTTTATCTCAGCCTCACACCTGCTCACGTAATGGCTCAGCTGAGATCTGCTCCCTCCCCCTGTGTATGCTCTGCCCTTCTTCCCCTGGGGTATCCATCAATTCTGTAGCCCTGTTGCAATACCTCACCTTCCTGTCCTTGTCTGCAGCCTGTGAATGTGCACAAAATTGCCCTGGAATTGTGGGAGGGCCACTGGGTTGGCTCTACTGGACATCACTGTTAACCTGACTTCCATGTCCTAAGTAGCAAGTTTTAAAATGAAACTCTTCTATCCCAAGTAACTCCTAGATGCAGCTTTCTTCCATTATGTTTCTTTAGAAAACTTAGTCACATGATAATGAGGTATGTATTATTCCTGCCAGAGGGAACATGTGCATCTTTTCTTTCCACTGCATGCATTCAGTACTGGTGAATATGGCTGGATTGACAGTGTAAGCAATTAAGAGGTTTTGAAATCCAGAGCAGATGGAATTTTATCCAATTTATATATGATCTTACTATAAATGTACCTTATTGGATTCAAGCCAGTGAACTCCCAGATCTGTGTTTTAACCTTTGGAGGATGTTACCCAGCCTGTTGACAATTAGAGTGGTAACCACTTCGTAAAAAGGTACATCCCTCTGATACAGGGATGTAGGGTAGTGAGAGAATTGAAGAAAGCCCCAGCTTGACCTCATGTGGCAAGTTCTTTGTTTGCATTTTTTTCTTCCTTGTAGGATCTTACAGCCCAGCAGGCTCTTGGCTACCTTAAATCTTTACCCTTAACAGATCCTCTCTTCAGGCAATACATACACTTCACATGAAGGTAAAAGTCCCTGTGTCTTGAACACATTTTCTCTTGAGACACAAATGTCAATGGGTTTGAATTATGGACCTGCTGTAATTAAAAACCACATAACTAGTTGTTTTTAAATGCAGTTGTTTTACTTAATTGATTTTGCCGCCAGGACCAAAGAGAATTAATTAAATAAATAAAATGCACCTTCCTAGTGAATTACTGGAGGCAGCTGAGTCTGTGTTGGTATCTAATTACTGCAAATGCTCCAGTTTGTTGCTAGCAGTAGTTTTCTGTGGAAGGAGCTGGGAGAGAAGGGGTAAGGTGGTGTGGGAGGGGGTTCATTCCTTGGCAGCTGCAGGAGGGAACAGGCTGCTCCTTGTAGTATTTTTCTTCCTTTTCAGCAGAAGAGTATTCGTTTAAAGCTTTGCATGAAGACTTTGCTTAGAAGGTCTTTATTCATATTTAATTGCTAGGTTGCTGCAGCTCCCATCTTTAATTACCTTTTAAAAAGCAGGTTATAAAAATGCACTGACATTCTTTCTTTTTTGTTACTGCATAAATTACAGGCTTCTCAACTGCTCACTTGAAATCAGTTGAGCCCGCGAGAAGTGTAGGACAGGTTCCCTTTGCTGACTTCTGGAAACCTCAGAGCTTATGTTCACCTTGCTCTACAGAGCAGGACAAAAATCCTCAACTAGCATTACATGAACTATGCCTGAATCCACATATCTGTGCTGGCCCTTCCTGTGAGCTGACTGACTGTGTGGAGGGGCCTGGCTTGTTAGCTAGGCTGAAATTGCACTGCCTTGGTTGTAGTGTTTGCAGAGCCTGTGCTGCCTGGTGCTGACAAGAGTTGGTGCTCTCTAGCATGGTGCTCTGTTATGCAGGGCAGAGGCCTCTGCCCTCTCCCATTGCCTCACCCATGTCTACCTTGGATTTTGCTTCCTGGACCTGCTTCTGGTAAATCTATTTAATCTACAACTTTCGTTGTAGTCTAGTCCTGGATTTCTCAGCCAGAGCTTCTAATAATTTCCTCTCCTGCTCACCAAGTGCTTTTCTGTCTCTGATTGGCGCTTCTTCTGAGTTGAGAGCACTGGTTACTTTTACAGAAGGTGTGACAAAGTCCATCACATTAAACAGGCCAAGCTGTCGAGGTTGAAACAGCAATTTTTGTCCCCCTGCCCTGAATGCTGCTGTTAACCACTGCTCCCAGTCATGTGCTGGCTTTCACCAAGTGAGCTAGCTGCTGCTACTGTAATGCACAGGAATACACACTGCTAGGTTTCAGGGGTGGTGGTGGGTGGTATTAAATATCTGCAAAAGAAATACGTGCAAAGGAACAGCTGTTGGCTTCTGCACCCAGGATGCTGACCATAATCATTCCAAAACATTTTCAGGACAGCCCAAAGAAGTCTCTCTCATACTACCTGGCCACTACAAGTCCAAGATGAAACATATTGCTGGGACTCTGTCACATGTTTCCATGAGCAGAGTATCTCCAGGGCACTTGCGCATTTGGCAGGCTTCACTCAGAGGCCAAACAATGACAAGGCTAAGGGAGGGGACAGAAGAAGGATGAAAGGGCTGAGTCTGTCCAGCTTTGGCACAGGAACTCTCTGGCCTGTGGGCAGGGCTTTCCTGAGAACAGCCTCTGTTACCCCAAGCTGATGCCTCTTTCTCTTCTTTCGGCAGATAAAAGAGCTCTTTATGAGTTTTGAGGACACTCCCCTGGGAGCAGCATCACTAGCCCAGGTACACAAAGCAGTGCTGCAGGATGGGAGAACGGTGGCAGTGAAAATCCAGCACCCCAAGGTCCAAGCTCAGAGCTCCAAGGATATTTTGCTCATGGAGGTAAAACTACCGGTTGACATCAACTTACAGAACAATTGCCACTGAAACATATAAGGACCACATTCACCTATGGTGTAAGCAGGTATAACAACACCAATCTGTGGCTTTGAAACCTCCACAGAGATCAATGCTCTCTTGCAGGATTAATACAGAAAACTGGTGAGGATTGCAGTGCTGGTGATTTTGTGGATGGAGACTGAACAAAAGGGTAAGAGGGAAGGAGGGCAGAAGGAGAAGACAGGTAAAGATAAATGACATCATAGTAAGTCCATGTAAGATTTAAGAAATAGAGAGTCCTCAAGTCTCTTTACAGCCTGTGTGCCCCTTAACTGGTTTCAGTTCTCTTGTAGTCAGGGCTGTGTGGCCAAGGAAAATCACAGTCCATGATTAGCATGTTTTTTTTTTGATTAAATTCTGTTGTGGATTCAACAGTGGATGAGGTTGCTATGATTCAGTTTTGTTTCTTGATCAGCTCTGTAATGCTGAACTGATTCATGGTAGAAACAAAAACACTAAAATACGGAGAGGTTCACCCAACAGGGGCAAATATACAAATGAGGAATTCACCTGGGAAAATGTTTCAATGTGTATAGAACAGGAAATGGACACAGGGCTGAGGTGGAGGAGATGGGAAGGATTAGGTCTGTAAGTGGTAACACTAAAGCTTTTTGCTCTCCTAAAAAAGCATATATATATATATATATATATATATTTGTGTGTCCGTATATACAGTAAGTGCACATTAGTTGGCAGATGGGTAGGTCCATGGTACTAAAGAAGTGAAGCTGAGGAGTTCTGGTCAGTGTTTGGAGGGTATTGCTCATGCAGTAACACTTCTCCGTCACTGTGAAGAAGATCAGAAATCAAAAGTTCTGCCAGCAACCTCTCAGAGTACCACATAACTAAAGCTTCTCTAGGCAGTTAAAATACCCTGCTTTGAGCAGTCCTGGCTAGTCTGCATAGCAGCACAGCTGGTTCCAGCTGGGGAACATGAGTTTGCAGCTGAATATTTAATTTGAACTCATAGTGAAAGAAATTTTTGGGTTCCAAAGAGATGTCCCAGTAAGATAGGATCTGTCTGTTTCAGTGCTGGCTTGAAAACACAGAATTGTTTGAACTGGCTTTGGGTCCAGCTATAGATTTGAATTTGATTCAGATCTTCTCCAGGACTCACTGCAGTGATCTGCCCAATGAATTTGCTCCTGTGAGTCATCATATGCACAGCACTTCTCAGGCGGCTTATGACATCCTTCACTCCCTCCCAAAACAAGGTGGCAGAAAAAGAGCAGTCAAGGATTAAGGATGAGCAGGTAATGAAAGAGTATGGGATCAGGGCAATAAGAGGATTCTGTGTGAATGACCCAAACCTGTGTTTACCTTGAGACATTTGCCCTTCTGATAGTGAATATCACAGAAACATATCTCCTCACACCATGTTGCTGTGATTGCTGATTATACTGGTAAGAGACATTTAAACAAATTATTTTAGAATGATTCCTGTCTTTTCTGGCTTTAAACTATTCCTCTTGGAAAACTTGAAGCTAAACCAATTTATTTTCTTTTGGTAGTTTAGTACTGTCTTTCTTGTACAGACAGTCTGGTTTACCATCCACATGTTGTATATAAATAGGTATTAGGAAAATAGCTCAGAATATGACACATGTGGTTTTCTTTATAAAAGGTCTCTCTTGTGGAGTCTTGGCTTACTTGTATCATATCCTTGTGTGGGACTGTTTTTGTGTAGACTGCATAGAAAGCTAGGTCACATGCTAATGTTCTGGTCCTTTAAGAATCAGACAGACATTGAAGCTAGGTAAAGAGGTTAATTTAAATATTGATGGAGATGGTCTCATTTAGAGACTGATCGGAAAGAATCTGAACAAGAAAAGGAAAATTCATAAATTCACTTGAGATTTCGTAGCATCAATTGCTGACTCTTTAAAAATCAGTGCAGCATCTGATAAACCCAGAGAGAGATACCTCACTGCTCTCTATATATCAATAATTATTTCAAGACCATATGTCAGAAAAGGGGTAGGCAAAATACTTGTTAGGATGTCCCTGCTGATAGTCAAGTTGGCAAATTTTTTGAAAAAAGCATTTGAAGAAAGTGAAAAAAATGCATTCATTTTGTCATGTCAGGCACCAATGAAATAATCTTGGAGATCCTCTGAAGTTTATGTTCGTGTTCATGAAGATCGCTGGTTACATTTCATTTGGGTGACATAAATTTGAAAGGATTTATGCCTCTAGATGTAGCAGTAAAAAGTACAATTCAGTAGTGTCTGGAACCTGGTGATTACATTTTTAAAGGAACATTGAGTTTGCAACTGACATTTAGATAAGAGAAGTTGAGACAGGGTGGAGAACAAATGTTGTCACACAACTGAACGGGAGCAGTGATGGTTCATAAATTTATTTTTGTCATACATTTCAATGATGGCAGCTTCCTGTGTGTACTTTAAATGTTCCTCCTGCAGTGCAGGAGTTCCCACCTCTGTGGTGAAGATCAAGAAGGGGAAACTGCAATAACACACACTTAAAGGCCTGTTTCTGTTTTCAGATAAATGTGCAGAACAGGTGAAATGAAGACAGCAAAGTGCCATTTTTATGTTTTTTTTACTTGTTTTATGACTCAGTTAAAAACAGCTAAACAAATTTTTTACTTCAGGTGGAGAAACTGTCCCTTTGTTTGAAGAGAAAGCATACTTGGCTGCTGTGCAGCTTTGATTATGCCATCCAATTGTGTAATGTTGATTCACTCACCCTTAAATGTTGCTTCAATCAAATGTTTTTGGCTGAGATTTTCAAGATGCTGTGTCACTGAATATCTAATCCCTTTAAGAAGAAGAGCATTCCATGTGGTGGATATATGATATTTGGAAAATACTTCAGCCTTGTGAGAATGGCTTTGCCTGATGCTGAAGAGCAACTTGCCCTCTGACCCCCACCAGAAGTGTTACTTAAAGATGTGTAGCCTACTAATTGTATCCAAACTCCACTGTCTTCTTTGAACTGCCCAGAGGATTTTCTCTGCTCAGCAGTGGAAGTAATAAAGAGGTGACAAGTCTTACTTTAGATCTTCCTCATCTACATTATCTGAGATCTGTTCAAATGAAGCCAAAGAGTGACTTGTAGAATTATAGGACTCAGAAGAAAGTGTTGCTCCAGGGCAACACTCTTGGTGAGATCTGGTCATGTGGTCTCTTCTCCAGAGCTTTGTTCTTGTCTAGGCAGCAGCCAGCTGGCCTCTTTTTGATGTGTGTGCCATCATTTAACTCCTAGGTGTGCCTTCCTCTGTGGAAGTACAGGCCAAAATTTGTCTTACATGACCAAGGCATGATTCTGTGTTTTATTGTGATACTGCAGGAACTCTAAAAGCACTTAGTTTTTTTTTATCTGGAAGTTTTATGGAATGATACTATCTAAACATCACTGTGTGTAGCTGTGTGACTTTGGAGCCAGCATGCAACTAATTGTCTGTTTGCTTGTTTTCAGGTTCTTCTCTTGGTTGTGAAGCAGATTTTTCCAGATTTTGAGTTCATGTGGCTGGTGGAAGAAGCTAAGAAGAATCTGCCCTTAGAGCTGGATTTCCTCAATGAAGGCAGAAATGCTGAGAAGGTTGCTCATATGCTCAAAAACTTTGACTTCCTGAAGGTGAGGAAGCACATATTTCTGTCTGTATATGTGCATGAATAGTCTCCTTTACTATGTCTTAGGCCCCTCATTCACCAAATGGAGGAGCCATGGAGAGAGAATGGAGTTCAGCCTCTCTGTGTTGTTCATTCTAGACTGCTCTGCTGATACAGACCAGAAAATTCTCTGAGACATGCCTTCTTCTTGTCTGTTTCCTACTGAATGCACTCTATTGGGCCAGGAGTGGTGGCTTGGGACCAGTTGTCTTTGGAGCTTGCTTTTCTTTCTGAATTTCATTTTCAATTTCTTTCTGAACTTGTTCAGAGACTATGGATTTGCCATCCTTTGCTGAACCTGAATTTGATGGTACCTTTCCTTGGGCTCTGTCTCAGCTGAGGGTAAGAAATGGACACAGAACAGAAAAGCTAGACTGAAACTGGTGATGTAGTATTGTGGACACCTTGTATCTCAGGAAGAAGCATATTCACATGAGTCCTTCCTACTGCAAAAAAGCACATTCTCACCCTAGAATTGGACATTTACCCTTCATACAGATCTGTGGCTAATTCATGTTATCTTCATACAGAAATCAAATTGCACCCATGTTTGGTCTTCCCCTCTGATACTTTTATCCCACCTCCCCTGCCACACACTTATGTTACTGATAAATGTCTGAAATACAACCAGACACATACACATCTCATTCTTGGAAAGACATATGCTCACATCTTCAAAGTCACACATTCAGAAATCTTTTGCTGAGGTACAAGAGACACAAGCCTCCAGTGTGTGCTTTCTGGAAACACACATAGTGCCATGGTTGCAGTCACTGATGTGACTGTGCCCATGGCACATACAGAAAGGCAGCAAAAATCACACTCTGCTGTGGATCTTCTTGTATACACACTTCTAAATGAGCTTGCCACTTCCTGTTTATGCAGAAGTCCCAAGGTAGGAGTGACAGCGGTCTGAAATAAGGTGAGTTTTTGTTAGGCTTTACAGGCTGATAAATCCATTTTTCCTTGCTTCTTCCACGTAAGGGCTGTAATTCCATATTGCCCAATTCCAGCTTTGGAGCAGTCCTTTCGGAGCCCAGTTGTAGCAGTGGCCTTCCCTTAGACACAGATAGCTAAAAGCCACCACATGGAAGGTCAGAGGCCAATGGATTTGTTGAGTGGGTGCTTACCAGAAGTGATGCACCTTAGAGAGTGTATCTGTTGCAGCTGTAAGTAGCATACTGTGAAGTAAATTCCTATGGAGGCAGCCAAACACCTCCTTGCTGGGCTAAGGAGCTATCATGATATCAATATGTGTAACGATAACAAATGACTTGAGATGGCCAAATAATGGATCCTTCTGTCTGACCTGCCAATTCAGAGACGTATTCATCACCTAAAAGGAACAGAAGAATTGGGCTCCTGTATCATAAATTTTCCTAAACACGCTAGAAAGCTGAGAAGTAGATTTTGTGCTGTGAACCTGTTTGAGCTTTTAAAGCCAGAGATAAATTATTTCCACACACAAGCATTAGAGCCAAACATCTGTGAGTAATTAAAAAAATCACTGAAGAATTTGGCTGTGATTGAGAGAGGCATCTCCAATAGCATGAATAGTGCTTTACAAGCCCACTGACTTGCCTGTGTAAATCTTGAGATAAGAATGATGTCATTGGAAGTGATACAAGGGATCAGTGAGCTAGATGGGATGGGGAGCTGTTAGTTTTGGAGTTAGCAGGCTTTCTCACCAATCTAACTGCAAAGAATGGGCATCCAGATAAGCTGGGATGGCTGTATCTGTATCCCCCTTGGTCATAGCGGGTCTATGGCATCAAAGTCTAAGCAAGGTTCACATGCAAAGTATACCAGGAATGTTGAATGGTGGGACTGAGGGACATTGAAATTGCTCAGCAGAGGAACCTTTGATGTAAGGTGGCACACACATGGTGAAGTAGAAGTGGTCTCTCTAGGACATGAATAGGAGGGAAGCCGATAGTTTCTAAGAGACTAGGGTATTGTCAGTAGTTAAAAGCAACAAATGCTGCTTGTTCAGGAGCTATGATGAGCTACAGTGTCTGGCTGGTCATCCCCTGGTTTTGGTCAGTTGATGGACAACACCTCTTACTTCTTCCTGTCCTGCCTCAAGGTGCTGGTCCTGAGTCCATGGCTTAATCACGGGGTGAGGAGAGGGGACTGCACAGCTGGCTTATTATTTGCATGATCCAAAATTATCATCTCTGTACTGGGGCACAGTAATGGGAGTGGGCAGAGCTCCCTTATGTCTTTGCTAAAATATACATGTGTGGCTTCACCCATGTGCAAAAGCAGATTAGGGTAGATTGGGGGTTTGGTCAGCACAGTAACATGAGGAATTTCAAAAGGGAATTCAGCAAAATGGCTCTTGACAATAGGGATTTCAGCATGGGAGAAATTTGTCTTGAGAGAGAGGCTAGAAAATGGGGAGCCATCCTGAGAGACACTTTCATCACTGACTCCTTGGATGACACCAGACCTCTTCTCTGGTACCTTACTCAGCTTGATCTACCACAGCTTGAATGAAAAGTGCTTTGACATTTTACACTCATTACTGTGTTGCTGGCAATAAGATAGATAAGGGTCTTCCCAAACAAGTCCCTTATTTGTGACACTTGATTTTTCTCCCAGTTCAATTGCAGATGGCCTTAAGTATGCAGGGTTTATCAGCTCAAAGGCATTCATGTTCCAAGGGGCACTGCGGAGATACAGTTTATGACGATGGCTTGTAATTTTTAAAGCTGCTTGTTTGTGTGTAGCAAAGAAGATGCAGTTCCTGTCTAAAGGAGCTGAGTGGATGATACAGAAACTTGCAATAGGTACTAGTTAAACAGCTGAGCTAGAGGAGCTGCAGGTAAGAAAGGTATCTCAGACCTCACTGGGAATGGGAGGTGTTCAGAATCCTGTAGAGCGTGGTCAGAAATGTTACATGAGATCAGATACTACTGTAGTTGAATTGGTGTATTATCCTTGTGTACATTGATGCTGTCCTGCGGAAGAGGCTGATAGATGGAATTACCTCCCTTGTGCTCATCAAAAAAGCAAAGTCTGCGCTTCAGCTGCTTTCATTTTTACTTCTTTTCTGGGATTTGTGTCATATATTCTCCTTCTTTTCCCAAGATGTTGCCTGACCTAACCCACGTGTTTCTGTTTCAGGTCCCCAGGATCTACTGGGATCTTTCAACAAGGCGTGTCCTTCTCATGGAGTTTATGGAAGGGGGACAAGTGAATGACAGGGCCTATATGGAGAGGAATGGCATCAATGTCAATGAGGTAGTTTCTCAGCCATCTCTGAATTTGGTGTAAAACTGATTTTGACCTTGATGCAAAATGGAGACTGACAGGACAGGATGGGACAGGGTAGAAGAATAAGCACACACAGAGCAGTCAGTCTGAGAGATCTCTGTTCTTGTGCTCTTTGGAAAAGGGAGATCTTCAGGGAGACATAGTGAAAGATGACCATGCTCTTACATTAAAGACACCCACAGTTTGTTCCAAGATGGAAGTTCCTGTTACCCTAAAGGAACAACTTAAGTTTCTGATTATTTTTATCTCATGGACTTAGCTATTAAGAGAGCTTTGGAAAGTTCTGTCTGTAGCAAAACATGGTCAGCTCCATTCATCCGGACAAGTCAACTGGTCCAAAGTGAGAGAATTGTTTCTTTGAGAGAGTTTATACTATACTTCTGCTATAGGCAGAGGTGAAATCTAGCCCACACACTCAGAAGAGTGAATATTCCTCAAGTCTTGAGACAGTCTCAAGCCCCTTGAGAAGGGCTTGTTTTGATGCGTTAATAGAAGGGCTCTTGAGCAATATGTACATTTAGATGTTGAGGTGGGCTTCTTCCTAGATCTCAGACAGCAGATCCATTTTGAGATTGAGGTCATTAGCATAGTGTAGCTCCCTGGGATTTTCTTTGTATTTTCTCAGACTGGTGGAGATAGCAAAGTTATAGAGAAACGGCTAATTTCAGTTTTTCTAACTTGCAGAGGCTTTTGCTTGTGATAGGAGCAATATAGAGTGAAAATATCTGCTAATTTTTTTGTTTATCCATGCCTTTGGGAAGGTTGTTTCATGATGACTTGGCACAATACATTCCATGCAGCAGTGAAATCCCATGCTTTCCTGAGTCTGAGCTGGCCTCTAAATAATAGCTAAGAAGTAATTTTTGAAAAGTTGTCAGTGGGCTTCTACTACTGCAATGTGTAAGTTTCAGATAATTGCAGACATCTGACAGATAGAGGATGCTACTCAGCTCAGTTGTAGGACTGAATTTTCTTCCTTTTCTCTCCCCACTGTCTGAAGTTGAAGATTAACTTTTACTGATTGCCAACAAAGCAATGTAGAAAGGAGGAAATACTGAGCCTGTCAGAATCATATGATGGGAAAGGAGGTCTGTTATTATGGCCACAGTAAGATGAGGTAGGGGCAGTGCACACCCCAAACTTCTCCTGCGGCAAGGTGCAGCAGATGGGGAGAAATATTGCCTAGGTTAATTATTGGCTGCTGCTGTTGTTGCCCTGGGTAAAGGACTGCGTGGCATGGTGGGGAGATGGGCAAAAGGCAGCAGACAATGAAAGGAGCGTAAGGAGGGGTGGCAACCCATGTTTCAAAACTGTGACCTGGCTTATAATATGACAGCAATCTTGGCTTTCAAGAGATGCATTAGCTACCTACACATCCCCCAAATATATTTATTTTATAAATCCCTCTATCATTTTCCTCCATTTTGTTTTATGGTGTGGAGGAAGAACAGTCTTCACAGAGCACGGTTTCTTTTTTGTGACAATGCAGCCTTGAAAAGCAAGCTGAGCCTCTCTCCTCTAAATGGAAAGGATCCCTGAGGTGAAAGCTCCCTTCAAACCAGGTTACTGACATTTACTTAATACCGTCTGTAGCAGGATTATCATTAAAGCTGCCCAAAAGCACATTAATCTCTCTGGATCCGTCCAAGTGCTGGATTGTAATGGCATTTAATCAGAGAAGGCTTTGATTTCTAAAGACAAGTGCAAACATTGAAATATCTGCCTGTGGAACAGTTACTTATTCATGTACAAGTGTACTTGTACACTGTAGTGTAGTTGAGGAGGAACATGCAGCTAGGATATTGACAGTGAAAGGGAAACCTGGAGAGGGGAGTTACCAAGAATGAGCTAGCAGGAATTTTAAGGGAAGACTAGAACATGGCAGGGCTAAGAAGGGGGGCATCTGGAAACTGGGCTTTTCCTCTATTAAAACACAGTAATGCTTGCAGTCTTAGTTGGGAAGGTATATTTGGAAGAAGTGGGTAGAACAGGGAAGAGAGAAAAATTAGACTGTGGGGCTCTCAAGGGGTTTGTAGCATAGTATATACAGGAGGAAAGGAAGGACAGTGAGACTACTTAGAGCATGGATTTTTAAAGATCCCAGATGACACAAATGTTCCTTTTGCATCTATTCTGATTATACCTGATTCATTTAGAGAGATCTTATTTGTATACAAATCTTAACATTGTCTTTGGTCTGCCACATGGATTCTCCATTCCTTCTTTGTGAGTTCTCTGCCTGTCTCTGCAGAGACTGCTGTATCAGCAGGCTCTAGGACCTGTGGAGCTTCCAGATGTGCTCATGGCATGTGCTGTATTGCCTCAAACTAACCAGCCAGGTCAGGTAGCCAAGAGTCCCTGTGATCAGCCTGATTTGGATTTGAGTCAAGGAAAAGAAACAACACCATGTACTTCAGCTCACCAAGAGCCTGGTCATGAGGCATGGTTGATTCAGAAGTCAGAAAAGTGTTTTGTCCAGCTGAGAACTGAAAGCAAACAACTAAGGTACTTAAGATGAGCTACTGTGCGCAATTATTGCCATCTGTTACTCCATCCTACTATGGCTTTTTGCTTCTTTCTGTTACTAAATGGGTTCTACACTGAAACTGTATCTCTTAGCTTGATAAAGAGCCCAGTACCTTCCTGTAGCTGACAGCTTTGCAACTTGAAATACGCTTTCAATGTGGCATTTACCCTTCTGCCAAGAGTCAGGAGCTGTAGCTGTGTAGCTGCTAAAATTTAAGTGGGATTTCCCAGGGTGGGATCCTTTTGTCAGCAGTGGAAACCTGTCATGTCTCAAGTATTTGCTCTGATAACACTCAAGTGTTAGATGAAGCGGAGCGTGGAGAAGAACACTGTTTCTGGGGAAGATGGCTATTCTTGCTCTTTGCACTTACTGAGTTAGTCTGGGGAGAAGTTCATTTGCGATTGTCCTACGTTTCATCTTGTCTGAAGCTTAGTGAAATTCAGAAGGCACTGATAAGTAAAAATAGTGACCTCCAGTATTTTCAGCTTTTGAACTGGGCACAGACACCTGGTAAAAGAGTTAAATTAGACGCTGACCTGTTTCTTACTGAAAGTTGGTATTGAGCATCAATATCAATCAATTGCTTAAGTCTCAACAAGATGCTTTACATTAAATCAAGGAAATACAACTGCGTTTAAAGCCAAGGGAAATGATCCCCATGGTCATTTTGTGTCTGACAGAGATGCAAGAAACAAAAAAAAATAATGACTAGTCTTCTTTAGCTGTGTCCTTTTGAGAATCTGTGCAAACGTGATGAGTTAGTCTCTCAGTTCCCTGGGTGGATGAGTCAGAACATTTCTCTCCACTTACATGCCATGGAAGATGGAGCATTGAGCATGAAAATAATTTCCTGAGTTCCCAACAGAGAGTACAGGGCATACTAGGAGTGCACTCCAGGAGTCCTAAAAACTATTCCTGTATCTTAATGACATCAGGTGTGTTCAGACATCATATTGCTGTGATGCTAGATCACTGCATAGTAATAGTACTGCCTAACAGAGCACTTTTGAGCCTCACAACTGGATGATAGAGGACAGAGTGTGAAATAAGATCTCTTGTGTGACCACCCTCTTACTGTGGATAAGAGCTATTTCAGAGCTGAGGCAGAGAAGACTTCAAATTGTGGCTATTCTCTGCCCACACCCTTTGCTAATTTGACACCAGTTTAATTGGGCAGAATTGCCCTAGCAGGATTAAGCAAAACCTTAGACGATGGCTGTAATAACAACAATGAAAGCAAGCAAAAACCCAATACAGTCTTCAATCCAATTAACCTTCGATTAAGGTTCCAAAATCAATGCTATTATTTTGGCCGGAGGAGGTAATATTGAGCCCTGAGAAATGAGCTGCACAACGACCTTTACTTTTAATGAGATCAATAGAAGTTAGTGTCGCCATCTCTTAAAATAATTGGCAAATATTACAGCCAAATTAAGGCCAGAGACTAGTATCTGGTTCTGATCTAAAGAGACAGTCACAGATGGAGGTGGGATGGGAAGGGATGATGCCCTATCAGGCAGTTTCATCTAGGACTTATCAGGGGCAGGCAGTGAGGTCATCTCTACAGGACCATGACACAGTATTTTTTTCTGTGCTTTTCTTCTTCATGTCAGTTAGAGGCATGGAGCCAGAACCATTCCAGCTCGCTCACAAGTCCAGGAAAGTATCAGTGACTTTCCCCAGATAACCCAGGCTGGTTTGTTACATTGCACTATATCATGCTACCCATGAGCACGATGTATGTGCTTTTTACTGTAGGAACACTCACAAGCTCAAATTTGCATGCATTTTTTCTTTTCTGAGAGGTTTCTTGCTAATTCTTGTGTATTGGTGTTTTTAAAGATACTCAGTTGTGATGAACTTTCTAGAGTTCTGTTACTGTCACGTTGCTTTGTCAGCAGGTGTGTTGATTAGTTGCGTACAAGGGCAAGGGTGACAGGTTGTCTAGGTTTTCAAAACTGATGGCAGCAACATATTGTGTCTGGGTACATACATATACAAGAAGAAATATATCACTGCTGGTACCTGCACTACAGCTTGGGATCCTCTGAGTTAGGTGACAGAAATGTAGTTAGGTGTACTTGTTAAAATATTTGGTACACTGCACATGACTCCATTAACTAGAAAACATGGGGATTAGTAGGGAAATTGTAAAGTAGGTAAGAAACTCATAGAGGCAGTGGTCAAGAGAGGTTACCACAGTGGAGTTTTGTGAATTTGTTTTTCAAATAGATTTCATTTAACAAACCGGTGATGACCTCAACACAAACACAACTGTATCAAGGAGATTGTTGATGACACCAAGCTGAGAGGTCTGACATTGTAGAGGAGGACTGGAGTAGCAATAGCACTTGTTGGCCTTGAGGACTAAAGTGGTAGCATCCTGTAGAAAATGGGGCATATTTCTGCTGTTTCATATCTGACTGGTGGACACATTGGGGTAGTAAATACTGGAGAGGAACAGAACTAGTTAAACTCAAGGATTGTGCTAGTTAAGGAAATTATTTAAACTGAACATATTAAAGTTAGGCTGGGATTTATGGGAAACATTCTGATCACCTAAAAGTAAATTTTTGGAACAGCTGCCAAAGTCATACTTTGTCTTAAATATTTCTGGTGAACTTGACCAGTTTATAGAAGGATTGTGTGATGCTGTACAGTAACAACCCTTAATGTTTGCACTGAGTTCTTATTTTCTTCTGTATTTGTTTGTAACTCGCATACAATAGTTTGTGACATGTAACATCCTTGCCAGACTGAGTAGGTAAAGGGCACTTCATGCGCTTAGGTTGGTGAAGAGTTACTCCCAAGTCCGGCTGTTATACTTGTATCTGTCACTCCATTGTGTCACCAATCTGTTTATTTCTCAAGTCTGTTTTTTTCCAAAATGAAAACATTGGGCTGAAAATGTGAGGTTTGCCTGACATGGTGTTGTGGTCACGTCACATCATTTGGCAATGGCAGGTTGGTATTTGCATTGATTGGTAAGGCCACAGGCTCACTTGGTGACTGTAGTCATCATGTTCTGCTACAGCACAGACAGGGAAATTTAACTTCTTTTAGGCACTAACACACCTTCTGGCAATAGGCAGGGACATGTCTCTGGCCAGACCCAGACTCTGATATCATCCTGATATATCAAGCTAAGCTCTGCTTGCTGATCAGCGTAGGTTTTGTTCTTATATGTTACCCCTAAATTATGCCATTCATGATTACACCCACTTTTGCCTGGTTTTATTTCTTGTAGTACATACAGAACTACAGGTGCTTCTACTTCCTTGCTATTCAAACCTCCTAACTGGTAGACTTTCCTCCTCTGCCATTCCTTAGCCAACTTTGGAATCTTCAGCTCTTTTAATTTTTTTTTCCCCAGTAAATGCCTCCTCCATCCTGCTCATTTATTTGCTTTCTCTGAACTCCCTCTGTGTAGTCTGCACCTCTTGAGTTAATGAGGTGTCTAGAAGTGAATGCAGAATTCCAAGACTGATTATTTTTTTTACAGTATTCATCAGAACAATGCTGAGGGATACTGGTAATGATAAAGACCTTGTTTTGTTGGATGATAAACAGAGAAAGGACTGATGACCTCTCTGTGTCATAACAAAAAGCCTTTATGTTAACCATGGTTTTTGCTTCTGTAAATCATTGCAACCTTTTTTTCTAATTTGTGATGCACCTTCACCCTGAGGTCTTGCATAGCCTAAATGCATGCTGAATTCCTCCCTTCTCCTGAGCAGAGGTTTTCATAAGTCTGTTTTCTCATTTCACTTAGCTGTCTTCTTCCAGAGTGAATTCTGTAGATATTATTTATCCAGTGGCCTTCTCAATAAGGAATAAGGGCCTGAAGTGACAAGGCACAGTACAGAAGAATTAATGTATATAAGGGTTTAATGTTTTTTTCCTAAACTTTTTCTCAAGAAATCTGAACTCCCTTTGTCTGAATTACAATGATAGGTTGCTATTCACATACTACACTTTAAGACCTAGAGTGTAAAGCTTCCTATTTTGTTTAGAATTTGACAGTATTGTTGCTTTCTATCTTAATTTATTTTGTATCCTATTTTAGAGGTATGACAACAGACAAAATTATGTGAAAATACTTTAGTGTGCATCACAGCTCCATGGTAATTTTTTTCCAAAAGTGAAGACTGTTTATATGCTTGCACCATAAATCCCTGTAACATATCTTCTGTATGCTAATGAAGTAGTACATAATACATTCATATGTCTTAAAGAAGTCATAAAGTTTAGTTGAAGATACTGGAGATACTCAAGGTTGCATGTTGGGGAATAGGTAAATATAAGTACAGCAGGGAAGAGAGAGAGATGATGGGGATCTTGCAGTGAACATAATCTTCTACCAATGACCCAACCTGTGAGTCTGAACAGGGCTCATTTTCATGGGAGGGTGGGAAGATGGATCTCAAGCTGCTTTTGTGTTGCATTACAGGTTGCAAGAGGCTATGACCATAGGTCTATTTAGTCACCTTTCTGCTGATAGTGGCTTAGGATTGGGGACATTCTCTGCATCTGGAGCTTGCTGCCATATCATAAGATGCTGTTAATGAGAGTGGCATGGATAACCTGGTGAGAGGCGTTTTTGTAGGATCCTAGGATATTTGGGTTTGGAAGGGAACCTCAGGAGGGCTTTCATTAAATCTCCTTCTAAGGCAGGGTCAGTTATGAGGTCAGACCAGCATTGCACAACCTCTTCAGCTATGACCAAGCAATAGGTTTGTAGAACTACCAACCCTTGTCTGGACTTGTCCTCAGCAGGAATGAGGCATCATGTTGGGCCCCAGATTGTCCCCAAGTCCTCATCTTCAATAACTCTGTGCTTTTCCATGCCCTAGGAGGACAAACAGCTGTGACAGCGAGGGCCAAGTGTGGTTAGCCTGGCGTGTGCAAAGTGAGTCTCTGGTCCCTGGGAGGCTTTGTGAGTGAATGCTGTGATGGGCTTAAAACAGACTATTTGGCACGTCCTTGGACTGTTAACAGAGGCTACTCAGCTCTTATATGAGATCACAGCACCTGGTACTTCGGTCCTGTCTAATTTTAGAGCTTGCCGATCAAGGAGACTTGTAAGGGTCACTTCATGGCTCTGGTGATCTCTGCTGGTGATTCAGAAGGGAAACATCACTCCCCTCAGTCAGTACTTAAAATAACACCTGCATGGCGTTAGGGAAGCTGCACTACAGGAGATCACAGGGCTGTGCTGTTCCGTCCGTGTCGGTGATTCATCATGGGGCGAGCCAGCATTCATGTGATTCAGCAGTGGTTCCAGGTCCCACTTGAGGGAGAGGATTGTTTCGCCTGATTCTACTGCTGTCTCTGTAGTTGTGCTGCAGGGAGGGTTCTTGTTCTTTCTCTTCATTTGTAGTTACTTGGCCACTATTCTTGGTGAATACTCTTCTCAGAGGTGGCTATGTTTCAGAGATGGGTAAAGGAAGCCCTTTCTTTTGTCTGTCTGGTTTTCTGCAGGATGAGCTGTCATTACTATCCCTGTTACCTCTTCTACCACCTCTGCTTATGGGGACAGCTGTCAGTTTGCTGCTTACATAGTGTGTCTGGAGATATGCTTGGGATAGTTTATGATGACTGTCTTTTAATTGCTTGTACAGCACTCTGCTGTGGAGCGCTGTGCCTCTCTGTGATGGCAGGGAGGGCTGGTGGAATGGCAGGGAAAGGCTGCTGTGTTGTTGCATGGCAGGGGGTTGATCCCATGCCCTGGGGATGTTTGCTTTCTCCTCGGAGGTTTTTAACATTAATAACACCTCTTGATGATAAGGAGCAGTAGTATGGAGGGACACAGCAGTGACAGGATGTTTTAAACAGCTTTTATGTGCTTCTTCATCTTCATAGACATTGAACAGATTAGCATGGGTGTGAGGAACGAAAGAGGGAAAGTGGCAGACAGTGTGATGGAGGGAGGGGAGAGGGAGCGCATGTTCATTCTGGTGGGCAGATGGACTGGCTGCGTCTCTCCCCACCCCTTCTCCACCATGTCCTGCTGCCATCCATGGATGGAAACCTGAGTCTTCTTCCAAGCAGTTTCACCCAACCCAGAAGCAATTTCCATGCCTTCCCTGTGAATGCATATCCACCACTATCTGCTTTCCCACTTCCCTCCTCATTACCAGAAACCCCATTCCTACCCACCGGTACTGTATCTTTTTTATGCTAGACAAGTGTCTTTAAATATCATGTGATCCCACAGCCACCTTCATGGTGATCCTTGCATGGATCCTTTCCTGAATGCCCTGGACCACCCTGCTACTGGTAGATGCCAGCAGCCACCGTGTGCCTCCATCAGTGTGAGGAGCTGTGGGAGCTCTGCGTGGGAATATCAGTGTGTACAGACCCTTGCTTCCTGGGTTGTCACACAGAGGCTGCCTCCCCTCCCTGGCAGGCACCCTGCTGTGGGTGGCAGTGTGTGACCATCTCTTGTCTCCTCGCAGATCTCTCGCAACCTGGGAAAGCTCTACAGTGAAATGATTTTTGTGAATGGCTTTGTGCATTGTGACCCACACCCAGGCAATGTGCTGGTGAAGAAGTGCCCAGCCTCTGGCAAGGCCCACATTATCCTCCTGGATCATGGGCTCTACCAGGTATGTAGGTATGAGGGGCTTCCAGGGCCTTGTGAAGCTGCCTTTGGGCACCAGGCTGCAGTCTTGCCCCTCTAAGCACATATATGAATACATTTTTCATATTACTTCCATAACCCTCCAATGATATATTTTGACTCTGAAGTGGAGGATGGGGCACAGGTGAGGGGTGCAAGACTTTTCCCCCTGTTTCTTGTCCTCTATGAGCTTCTGGGGACCATGTTTCCCTTCCCAGGTGCTGAGTGAGTCATTCCGCATGGACTACTGCCGGCTTTGGCAGGCCCTCATCAAGGCTGATATGAAGAGGGTGCAGAAGTACAGCCGGCGACTTGGGGCAGGGGATTTGTATCCTCTCTTTGCCTGCATGCTGACTGCCAGATCTTGGGAATCTGTCAACAGGGGCATTGACCAGTCACCAGTCTCTGCCAGTGAGGTAGGTCTTGTGTGTCCTTCCCTAATGTGTGCCCTTGCTTCTCCTCAGTACCTTTCTTTGTTGAAATCACTTGCACCACTGATAGTACAGCAGTGCTGGGCAACCCCTCGCAGCTCTGTAGCAATTTCTGTATTGATAGCTGAGCTAAAAAAAGCCCATACTCCTTCTGCAATGTGTTTTATAGTAGCTGAATTTAATTTCCCAGATTCACTTGTCATGGGCTGCTTAAATTTTGTATAATATTTTAATACCTAAGTGTTCACTCTTTCTGGCTGGGGAAACATTTGTAGATTGTCCTTTTCTTAAAAAAATGTTCAATGCAGCTGTGCAGGAAACCATCAAGGAGGCTAGGATAAGGTACAGGAGACATAAAGGTTTAGTGGGAAGACATGAGAAGAATAATGCATTATCACTATTCATATAAATGACTGTCAGCACTGATATAAACTCCTAAAAACTTCTGGAAATTACCTTCCAATCAAAAACCCTATTAACTTGGAGTCAAGGTTGCTTAGCTGCAGATTCTGTCAACTCAATCACTACAAATCTGGGAAATTGCTGCTTACATTTTCCACCCTTCCATACACACACGTGCTGGGATCCTTCTCACGCCTCCTCGCACACCTGATATACACAATACCCCACCTTAAGAATACTAGCAGCCCTGCCAACTGTGCTGTTTCTAGAGAAGAACATAAAGTGATGTGATTCAGCCAATGGACAAGCGTCTGTAAGTAGAAGTGTGTTGTATCCTATGGTTTGCTTTTATCTACACACATCTGTAGTGGAGAGGATGGAATTCATTTAAGGAGTGTTATAATATTGCCCTATGAAATTCTCTTCTAAAAGTTTCTTCATCTTGATGGATGTGGCAGAATTTGCTGTACTGGTTTGCCATTGTCCATAGCAATGAGTAGGTCATTGGGTAATGGACCCCCTCCCAATGATCTGAGTTAATTTTCTGCACATCAGAAATAATATGACTATCTAACAGTAATTAGAAGTCTGTGCTTCATCTGGTGAGTTCTGGAGCTGGTAGCTCCAGAAAAAAATTCAAAGCTGCCAAAGCAAGTTGGCACAGTGCTGACTCCAATACTAGAAGGCCAGTGTTAAATCTGAGTTAGTGAGCAATGTTTATTCCCAACTCACTTGTGAAGGTTATGCCAGAGGTGTAGCTGCAGCTACATAGTACTCTGTGTGTGCTAATGAACTTTGTAATTGAGTTGAATTGCGTGTATGGAACCAGCTCTGTTGTCTTTGCCTACATGACACAATTAATGCTGAAACTAGATAATCCTGCAGCAGATAATGGGGAGCTGAGCAGATTTGCTGTGGCATTAGGAAATGAGCTGCTGCTTGCCCTTACTTTAGAGGTGAATTTGAAAGATTTTATCAGCAGCAAGAGCTGAGCGCTGTGTAGGCAGGTACCATCAGTGCAGAGCTCCAGAGAGTGTGCCTGAGGATGTATCAACATGACAGTAGCCTGTGAGACAAGGAAGTAACCTTCCTGAAACAAAATCTTATCTGTAGTGCTGTACTCAGTCTGGGATACTGCATCTTGAGAAAGGTTTGATGAAACTGGAGCAAGTCCAGTAGGAATCTGCAAGGACTAGTGGCCAAACAGATGTAGCCCATGAGGTCAGTCTGAGCAAGTTAGGTCAGAAAAAAATCTAGAAAAGGCAGGTCAGAAAGGGTTGTAGAAGTGATTTTTGAGTTTTTTGAAGAGTGCTGCAAGCAGGACAAGTGCAATGAATTTAAACATGGGTTTAAATTCAGCTAAACATGAGAAAAGCCAGATCTAGTGGCAAAGCAGTGAAATGCCACTGCAGATGGTCTGGGGAGGTTTTGATTCGTGTTACTGGAGAGTTTTAGGTGCAGGCTGGGAAAATGTAGGAGGATTGCCATAGGTATAGTTGTTCCTGCCTTAAGCCATCCAGGGCCAGGCAGCTGATCGCTCAGGGTGGCTGCTAGCCTCATCTCATCTGATTTTATGATGGCTTTTGCTGCATCCTGCAGCAGCCTCAGCAGCTGCAGCCAAGGGGCTTTTCTCAGGTCCTGTGGCATAGCTTATTTCTTCCTCTGCACACTTGACAGAAAATGACAGTTCTGATGACAGATCATGTGGTTGTTTTGTGATGTGGACAAGCAGCTGGAGATAAAAATAAAAAGAAAAGAAATAGAAAAGAAAACCTATGTCTGGAAAATAATGTAGGCAATGATGCTGGCTGGGAAAAGGGATAAGAGATAATCAGGGAGCAATTTTCTGCCAACAAATAATTAAAGAAAACAACATTTAGGAGTGCTAGGCATCTTGCTGAAGCCTTGTGTATCTGGTCAGTGATGGAGGCAGGAGGACACAAGGATTTGTTTGTCAGCAGCAAAGCAACATGGTTTTGTGTGAGCTGTGTACATCTCTGACCATCATGACCTGCACACCAGTTTGTGCAGGTCTGTTCCTTTATAATAAGTTTGAAGTTCATAAAGAGTGAGCGGGAGATCTCATGTCACGAAATATAGGCCATCCTTCATTCCAGAAGAGAGAAGGCTTAAGAACTGTCATTGCCCACAAAGAAGCCTCCTTACTGTAAGAAGTTATTTACTGCCCCCTTGCATGTGTTCTCCTGGATTTTGTAGATTGCAGATATTGCAGGGACTTGTCTTTGGATTTCATGTCATGGTTCATGTCATGGCCTCTGTAGGAGGGGGTAGGGGCATGGTATGCATATAGGATCAGCTCCCAGCTACACTGTGCTACATTTACTGGGATGGTGAGGGAACTCTCAGATCTAAAAACAGGAATAAGAAGCAGGGCTGACTGTCTTGCATGCTCTGGTGACTTGTATTTGGAGAGGAGCTCAGTTAAGTGGCTCAGACTGTAGCCCCTAAGTTTTCACTGGGTTCTTACAGTAAGCAATGTGTTTATTGGACTCTGGAGAACTAGAGATAATGAAGGATTGCGTTGGACTTACACTCTTCCCTTAATTATCTGCTATGAGCTGCTGTCATACAGGATATAGATCTAGATCTGACAGATGACAATTTGAGGATTTTTGATTTTTTGGGTTATCATGATGCTTAACTGTGTAATTTTTTCTCACCTCTGCTGAATTGTGTTGAGGACAGAGGACTAAACTAGCATTGGAAATGGCTTCACCAGTATAGCATAGAGCTGTCAGCTGCATGGGGAAGCAAAGATCAAGCAGCCTGGTTGTCTTTGCAGCCTCCACCTTCCTCAGAAATTCTACTACCTGCACCTCTGCTGGTTTTGGGGCTGGTGAGGTGAGAAGTCTCCAATGGCAGTAATGAGATCTGGTTGCTGCAGGCTGCCTAGGACCAAGAACCAAGGCAGCAGTGTCTGTTCTCCTGAGAGGCTATTAATCTTGCCAGTGAGGGGATAGGTCCTTATCTCACCGAGGGGAAAATGGGATCTGGCAAGAGTGATCTGTGCAGTGAGTGCTGTGCCCAGTGTCTGCAGGAAAGAAGGACAGAGCTCTTTAGCTTCTGTCCTAGTGTCATGGTCTGTTAAAACACTGTCTCTTCCTGGCAAATCTCAGCTGCATCTGGACCCAGATTTCCCATGTACTCTCACCTTCTCTCTCCTTTCTCCCTGACATGACCTGACTGGCCACAGGACATGGAGATCCGGTCCAATGCTGCCGCTTACTTGCCCCAGATCACCCAGCTTCTCAACAACGTTCCCCGCCAGATGCTGCTTCTGCTGAAGACCAATGACTTGTTAAGGGGGATTGAGTCAGCCCTGCACACACGGGCCAGTGCCAGCTCCTTCCTCAATATGTCTCGCTGCTGCATCAGAGCTGTTTCCACGTGAGTCTCTTATCCAGACATCAGAGACCAGACAGGGAGCAGCAGGAGCTGACTATCCCTGTGGTCTGGGAGATGAGGGGAGATGAGGTACAGCAGGCTTGTCAGGGTCCAGTCCCACTGCAGCTATGCAAGGCAAGCAGGACAGACCTTGAGATGAAGGTCAGATCCAATCAAAAGTCCACATGATTAGGCAACATCCTGGTGATGGGGCAGGTCTAAGAACAAATGAGAAAGTCAGTCTAGATTATGTCTGGTGGTTGTCAAGCAGGTCCATCGTGACAAGACAGGGCTGAGATCAAGCAAAGAGGTCCATGTGGAGGTCTAGCTCATGGGGCTTCACAGCAGGACATGAGCTGAGGACCATTACTCTTCCAGTGTAGCTCAGGCTGGAACTGAAGGTGCATGTCTGAGATGAACTGAGGTTTCTGGGCCTATGAACAGAGGGTTGGGGGTGGTTCCAGGCTAGTCAGGGCCATTAAGACTTATTAGGGCCCCACTCAGGGGGGCTGATAAGGCTCTGACTTAACCTCTTGACCTATTACTGTTAGCTGTGGATCTCTTCCCCTCATTGTGGTCCTGCCCCTGCTCAGCTACGTCTCAGCCATTGTCTGTGCTTTTCTTACATCCATCAGCCTTTCCAGAGGACAAACCTGTCACCCTGGGGCTGGGGACAGGGATAGAGTTGGAGACCTTAGGTTAAGGGTTTAGGATTTGTCCCCCAGAGGAGGGGAAGGGGCTTCTCTCCCATTATAGGCATTACCACTGGGCAGTATTTGTGAGTAGCATAGATCTGAAAGTTCACTGCAGCTGGATTGAGGGAATTGGGCTGACTGAAGATCAGGCTGATGTTTAAAAGCCAGGAACAGGAGTTGTGCAAGTGATTGCCTTCTCTGAGTCTTATGAATCAATGCACTTCTTCCTCAGATTCCTCCTCCTTGCAGATGAAATAACAGTTATTTCTTGGGCTGATGAGGGACCTGTGAATCCCAGTTAGCCTCTGCTAAAGAAAGGTGGAGAAATACTTTTCCTGGAATCTGTGTCAGGATTGCTGGACTCTTACAAGTGTGCTACCAGGAAAAGCAATAGTAGTGTGCACCTGTCCATGTGAGCTGAGGTGAAGCTGGGCATAGAAGCAGAGGAATGCCATAACCTAGGATCACTACGTAGAGTGGTAAGAGAACTGAATTCTCAAGTGAGCAGGCTGTCTCTTCTGCCAGATTCATTCCAAAAAAGGCAGTCCCCAGCTCCTCAGAAGCACTGCTTAGAGAAAATCCCTGCTTCCTGAGGATTCTCCATATGGGGGATAGCGCCCACCCCTGGGGAGGGTCAGCTGTGTGGAAGATGTAGGACAGGCCCCTTTCTTCCTGGGCTGTTTCCTGCTGGATCTAATGCAGCTGTTTCTCTCATTCTAGGTACCAGAGGAGCAAGAGTCACTCGCTTTACAGGAGGGCCCAGATCTCATTCACAGAAGCCCTAAGCCTGTGGCAGATCAACTTATATGAACTCTTTCTGTGGCTGAAGGGGTCCCAGCTGGGGAACTGGGTCATTGCTCTCCTGAGACGGATGCACCATTTAATGTACTGACATGAACTGGTGGGAGAGGCCTGGGTGCTCCCTCCCTCCCTTCTGTTCTCCATGGCACATCTGCCTTTTTGACTATTTCTGTCTATTTTTGGGTCTTACTCCACATTACACACTGCACTGTCCTTTTCTTTTACAGCATTAGCTTCCCCTGTGGCACAGAGAGATTGAGTTGATACCAGAGCCCTACTGTTTTGTGGTTTAGGTAAAGTAGGTGCATAATACCTTGTGGCAGGAAAGACAGAAAAGAATACCTTCTTTCCTCATTTGTGCAGGTTAAGTTCCACTCAGATTCTAGTGGGATTGTGCTGGAAGCAAATGCCTCTTTGACTCTTTCTTAAACAATCTTAAAGAATTTAAAAGAATCCCAGCCCTACCTAGAATGCCCCAAAATATTTTTCAGACCCTCAGAGAGGGGTGGTAAGTCCCTTTAAAATACAATAGGGTTTATATTAATTTGTGCAATCTCTTTAGTCTGATTTCTGTTTAGGTGTGCGGAAGGTTTCTCAGAGGAATGAGACCTTGTGGAAAGCTGTCACTAGGGTTTTTTTCTTCCAGCACCAGGGAAAGAGGACACAAATGGTGAGAGTGGTGGACTGGGAGTCTGACTTCCTAAGATGCATCTCCAGTCCTGTCAGCAAGTGCCTCTGTTTTTGGACTTCTCCTGGCTTGTTTCCTTGCAGGTGAAATGGAGGAAGGGGACAGTGATCTTGCCTCTCTTCTGAAATTCAGGAAAGGCAGTAAGAAGGACAGCTCAGGGCTCTGAAACTGCTGGTAATGTATGTGTACTGTACAAAACTATCACACAACAAAATAAATGTGTTGTATCAAAGATCTTTGGGGGAGGGATGCTTGGCTGTGCACTAGAGTTATGTTTGAGCCTCTAACCTTAGTCCTGTTTCCATTTCTCCACAAGGGAGTGATGCCAGGCAGTGCTGGTAATTCCTTGTAAGCAAAATGTCCACTTGGTCTTTTCTATATCCAAGAAGTTTGTGCCACATCTGAATCCTCTAGTACTGCATCAAATGCATGTTGGGATGGAGTGGAGGAGCAGGCATCTTTCTGCTGGGAGGATATCTCATACCCTTCTGCCCAGATCCACACTGAGCCTGCCTCCTCCCTGCCTGTGGGAGTACGCTACAGCACATCTGTGAGATGTCACCATCCCCATGCCACAGTGAGCATTTCACCTTGTCACTGCCTGTGATGTTTTACTACTCCAGCCTCAGACAAAAACCTGCCATTGCTCAGTGGTGCAAGTGACAGATCTGATGGCTTTGACTCTGTAGTTGTGGGACAGCTACCAGAAAGCCTCACCTAGAGGCCTGCTTGTGTGAGACGTATCTGAGATACTGGGAGACATCTCTGTTGCTTGTAAGAATACCTTTATCCAGGAAAGGTGGATGGAGGTGACTGCTCACATGATCTCAGCTTTCCTCATAAACTATCTTGGTGAAAGGGGACATGAAGGACAGGATGGGAATGTCCGTCTACTCTCAGAAAGCTTGCTAAACTGAGAGTTACTCAGGAACCAAACTGTGCCTGAGGGCAAGCCACAAGAAGGCCATTTCCTCTCACAGTTTCCATACAACTTCCCAATTTGCACAGGTGCGAGACCCCACCTTGAAGGGAGTTCATTTGCTTGGGAAGGGAAGCAGGGGACAGAGTGCAGGTAAGTGTGTGTGAGTCCCTGGTGAGTCAGTCATCTTTCTGGCTGTGTGGGAAAGGGAAGGAATATAATCCAGAAAAGGTACCTGGTTACTGGTGGGCTTGGGCATGATGGGTTAGGGACTGCAGATGTGCATACAGTGACTGTGTACACGCACAAGCATGTAGGCAGAATTGGCTGGCTCAGGACTGCCAAGTGGTAAGACTAACGTCCTTGCAAAGCTTGTCCCCAACCCATGCAATGACAGGTCAGAGATTCCCTTGACTTCTGGGTCATATGATGGCATCAGGGACTGAAGTGGTGATAATTGCAGGATGAGACTCCTGAGTCAACAAAGAGTCACTGAGGCCCTGGAATACTGGTGCTGCATCCTGTACATGACTAATCTTTGCTCATGTGAGCAGTCTGACTGAATTAGTGCCTTGCTCAGGCTCTTAGAGCTGGTAGGCTGGCCAGCATGGGTGGGCCTGATTTGTTCTCATCACAGGTAGAGCTCCTCTCAGAAAGCTGGACTGCTGTGCCTTGTTAAAGTCCAAGAGACCCTCTAGTAATGGTCACCAACTGCATATCCTCACCTTTTAGATGCCTGTGCAAATGCCTTTGCCTGTTCATGGCAGGATATACCGACCATAGCACCGTTTGTGTTTCTCATCTGTAAGTGAAAGCTCATCCTACATTTAGGCCTTCATTTCTAGAGGATTTCGTGTTGTGGAGAGGCTCCCTGTAGCTGTCATTTGCATTGGCTGTCAAGCTCACGGCGTGCTCTCAGCCATGCATGTTCTTTCACTCCTTCAAAATCCTACCACATGACTGCTAGTTCTGCTACCTGAGGACGGCCCTGACTCTAAAAGTGGTAGGGAACCAGCCCTCGGACTGGTTTCTGGCAGTGTGCAGCAGGCAGAGAACAGGGAATATTCGGCAGAGCTTTGTCTATTGTCATTAGTCTCTGCTGGGAGGCTGTGTGTTGCAGTGTTAGCGGAGGGACTCCTCCATCCATTGTGCTCAGCTTTCACCCTTCCTACAGTCAATCGATGAAAGTTTGTCTTAAGAAAGAAGCAAACACATGGACTTTGACCTTGTAACATTCCTGCCTTGTCTTTTTGCTGAAAGCACTCAAAGGTGAATGTGTTAACAGCATTTTGAAAAGACACTTCCTCATCCCAATTTGCAGTTGTCAAACATGGGTAGCCTGGATCAGGTCTGTGCACTTGGCCTCTCTTTCCAACCTGCATTTAATGGTGTTTTCACCACCAGCAAACACAGCTTCTGCTGCTTGGCTTGCAGGCAGCACATGGGCTGCTGTCTGCCCAGCTTTAGCTGCGAGCAAACTAAAGTTTGGTGCAGACACTAAATGCTGGCCCTGGAGCCCACCAACTCTTTCTCAGGACTAACATGGGGGTTAGAGCTGTTGGCCAGAGGTGCAAAACTGATGGGCATCTTTCAGCTCCTGTAATAAACATGAAGTACTTTGTTGTAGCCTTATGGCATCACCAATCCTAATGCTCTCAGATGTGTTGGGAAACCAGTGGACATTTCATCTAGCATTTATATGTGCCATCATTATATCCACTGGAGGTGGAAAATGGGGCAGTCAGGGAAAATGCAGTTGCTGTGCAAAACTTCAAGAATCTTGGGTATGAAGTGAACTTGCTTTTGCACATGCAGCTGAAAAAAAGCCAGTCTGAACACCCTAGCCTTTGCCTAGCCCATCTAGTGAACACTATTGATGACAAATGGGTGGCGTTTAGAGTCGCAGATCAAGGCTGCATGATGCTGTCTGCCATCTTGCCAGAGCACACAAACCTCATGCTGTTGCAGTGTAGAAGCTTCAGAATGAATCACACACTGCTTCCCACAGCATATGAACTGTGACATGTGTGCATCTTGTGCCATTCCACTGCATCACTTGGCAGGGGTCTTCCCCCACATCCACTGTGCATCCCTGTGTCACCCTGTACTATACCCTCTGCCCCCACACCCTGTGTCCAAAGGGGTATGGGCAGCCTGCTGGGTCCTGGAGCATGCAAGAAGCTGTCACACACAGTGGGCTGGGCCACAATGCCCAGCATTCAGATAGGAGCAAAAAGAGGGATGCCTGGAGTGATACAGCCCTCAGGGCAGTCATTGCCTTATTCCTTTCATCCCCTGATAACTGAATGGCTAGGAAGATGGATATTTCTTCCTCCTTGACTCCTCTCTAGAAGCGAGAGGCTGGGGCCGGCTTTTGCCCCTGCATCCTGAGCTCTGTCCTTGCCCATCTCACCCAGGGTTTGTGCTTGTCTGGGTGATGGCAAGAAATCTGTATTGCAGCTTCAAACGTATCAAAGCTTTCAAAGGCCCACAGCAAACAAACAGCATGAGATAAGAGGGGTGCAGGCTGGGGCCATGCAGTGTGCTAGGAGGGGGAATTTGCTAGTGCTGCTGAGCTGAAAGGTGGGAGGAATGCTTCAGAGGATCCCAGTCCTCAGGATAAATCCAGGTCAGGTTGGGGCTGCTGATTTTCAAGTAACCTGGATAGACATATCCTAAGGTGAAGCAGGGTGTATGGAGAAGAAGCAGTTGGAGTCTTTTGTTTGCTCATGACTTTCTTCTTGTGTCCTCTGAAAATCAGCAGAAGGGCTGCTCTCTGCACCGAAGAGCCATCTCCTGCCTACAGGCTGTGACAAAGGTCTTGTTTGCTGTAGGAATGCAGTATCTCCCAAGGAATTCTGCTTTCCTCTGCTGCCTCTGCTTTGGGCTCCTAAGCCACATAACTGCAGCTTTGCACTTTGGGCAAGGCTGCAAGCAGTGCTGGGGGCCAGGACCTCCAAAGTTTCCTAGGGGCCACCCTAAGCAGCGAGGTACCAGCAGCTGACATCTCTGAGGTCAAGCTGCTGCCACCACTCCATGTTCACTGCCTCCTGCCAAGTTGTGTGGAGAGAGCCTGCAAGAACCAAAGGCTTTCTGCTCCTTCCCCTTGGCAGTCCTCAGTTTTGCTGGTTGGGGAGTGATTGCTGTTCTGCCCCTGTTGATGTAAGGGGACTTGGTCTCAGCTGCTTTGCTGCAGCATGGCAGTAGCCAGTGGCTAGCACAGTGTTGGCGCTCCAGCCAGGCAGCAAACTGTTCTTCACAGAGCAGTGGGAGGATGCATGTGATTCTGAGTGTTTGTAGCAATTAATTTTTCTAGCGAGTCCTGGGAGTTTGGAGATGGGAGGAGAGGTGAGGAAAGAGAAGGGGAAGGAAAAGGAAAGGAATGGAAAAAGGAAAGGGAAGAGCTGATCCTCTGTCTGATCAGCTGATCTCCATGGAGGTGCCTGCAGGTCATCCTCCTTCCTTCAGCATCTGCTCAGGTGCTGGCCAGGACTGTAAAAGAGTTGGACAGTAAGAGACTGGCATTTAACTAATTGTCTGCCTCAGAAAAATTACCATTTCCAAGTATTATACAAGGTGATGGTTACATCACCTCACATGTTATTCTATGAGGTATCACTAGAACTGGGAAAACCTAGTAGTGGACTAGCAGCCCTGCAGGAAGGGCTTATGGGGGACCCCAGCTAAACACAAACTTACAGTGGAAATCATGTCCAAGGCTACTTGTTCTCCTCCTCTCCTTGGTGCTACTGAGTCCACACCTGAAACTGTGTCCTCTTTTGGTTCTCTCGGTTGAAGACAGATGTTGGAAAACTGTACTGGGTCTGGTGGAGGGCACATGACATGGTAAGGACCTATTCCTATGGCCTGTCAGGGAGATGGAATTGTTTAGTCCTGGAAGGAAGAGGTAAAGGGATGAGTTGATAATGGCTGGAGGCTCTGAAAGGTGATTAGAACCTCCTTCTGGCAGTACCAGATGAGTAAATAAACGCTGGTGGCCACATGTCAGTTTGAAAAGTTAGGAATGAACCTCCACCCCCCACAAAAAGGTGGTGCAAAGCTAGGATATGTCACCCAGAAAGGGTCTCCATCCTGGCTGGCCAGCAGAGTGGTTCAGCTGGCAAGAGTCTCCCTCAGAGCAGGAGAGGAGTCAGATGCCTGGTGGCCCCTCGCAGCCAGCCCATTGGTGGAACCATACAGCCATGGCATGGAGTAGGCAGGGAGCTGGCTCACACTGCCATTGAGTCAGTGCTGTGGGATGAGGTTGGATCTGGGTTTCAGCTTTCCCAGCTCTCCTTCTGTGTCACTGTCTGTG